ACTGGGCAAGAGAGAAACTTTTCCTTTCTTTGATACAGGCTTTCTAACTTAGATACAAGTAATGCTTTTCTATTGCCATATAACAATTTACCACAAATAAGTACCATAAAAGAAACCCATTTATTATCTCAGTTTCTGTGTCAATAACTCTGAGCTTGGCTTAGTTGTCTTTTCTGCTCAGGGTCTCATAAGCCTGAAAAAGTGTTGCCAGGGCCATATTTTTTTTTTCTGCAGCTCAGGGTTTTCTCTCATCCTGTACTATGGTTGTTGGCAGAATTTGGCCCCTTGGTGGTAGGACTGAGGTACCTACTTTCTTGCTGGTTGTGAGTCAGGGGCCACGCTCAGCTCGTACAGCCCATTTACCATGGTTGCTATGTGGTCCTCTGCACAACATGGCTCCTTGATTCGAAGCCAATAGAAGAGCATTCCATACAGCTTCAAATCTCTCCATTGTCTTCTGACTCCGATGTTGCAGAACCTGTTTGAAAGGGCTCACCTGAAAAGGTCAGGCCAGCACATGCCAGCAGGGAGCATGAATCTTGGGACAATCTTGAAATTCTGCCAACCATAGGAAAGTATTACACCTTGTGCTTGGCTTTGAAATACCGGATTTAAAATTGTTTACTTCTTTTTTCACACAGCCTGGTGAGAGTCAGAGAGGTCCCAAGTAACAATATCCACCTGGACCACTGCCTCCTCTTCCTCCACCACCTTTATCCTTTTGGCCCAGGACATGTTCTACCACCTCGCCCTCCACCCCATGGTCCAGGTAGAATTCCACCACCACCTCTTCCTCCTCCTTTCAGTCCAGGGAGAATTCCACCACCACCCCCTCTTCCCACTCATGGTCCAGGGAGAATTCCACCACCCTCCCCTCCTCTTCCTTATGTCTCAGGATACATACAGCCACCTTGCCAACCAGGATCCTATGGAACTGGACCTCCATTGTCCCCTGTATATCCTCCAGTTCATCCTGCCTCCTCTACCCCAGGACCCCAAATACAAACAACTACAACAGCAAGTGCTATGCCCACAACTACCACCACTACCACCATAACTACTGCTTCTACTACCCAAAATATAACTTCCAACAGTACTTCTCAGAGACTTTTGCATAAAATCTTTTCCATTTTTGAATGAGATATTCCAAAATCTCTGAGCTTTAGGAAGAAATAATCTTAGAAAGAAATTGCGAAATAACCACCACAAACATGTTACCAATGAGATAAAATAAAGAGTTGAACAACAATATGAAGCCTCCACTGTGGTTATCAGAGCCCCCAGTTTGCCCCCAGTTATGTCACCCACACGAAATTAGTGATTCCAGAAGTCTGGCCTTGTCCCATGGGACCAAAGAGGTAAATAATTAGGGGAAAATGCAATGAGACACCTGACCTTGTAGCTTATGCTATGAAGCTGGAAGAACAGACAA